TGGAGGTATTTTAAATGATTATTATGTCATTTATTATGCTATTGCTTTATCTGCCTTTAGATTTTCACCTCTAGCATTGTTTATTTCATATTTGTCTTTTCCTAGTACTATAATTAGTGGGTGAAAATTTGAGGCAGAGAGTATTTATATATTCTCCAGTGTCTCCTTATGAATGACCTATTGATCACAAAGGAAAAGAACAATTTTTCAAAGGAGAAACCTAGCGGGTGGGCTTTGACTGAATACTTCAGTGTCTTCCCTGTAGGATAAACTGACATGAGGATGATCTCAGATGTGACGCACTGTGGAGGGTGTGATGTTCTGTCCAAAATGCGTGATGCGAATTTACTTGCGAGGAAGTGAGATTCAAACTGAAGACATTTCGCAAAATGACTGGCCTCCATTCTTTGAAAAACATAAAAAGCACAAAAGATGAAAGAAGGTGTTCAGGATCTACCTCAGTAAATCAAAGGGCCCCAAAGGGCTGTGCCAGTTAAGTGCAGCATGTGATCTTCAGGAGCATCCTGAAACAGGGGAAAATATTATAAAGTTCACTAATAGGAGGGTTGGCAGAATTTGAATGTAGGCTCTAAATTAGACGATAATTGTTAATCAGTGGTGAGGTCCTTAATATTGATAATCATTTCGTAGTTGGTTAAGAAAAGTCCTTTAAAATTGAAATGCACAGTAGAGAATTTAGGAATAAATAGCATAAGCCTACAGCTTACCATAAATGGTTCAAAAATGTACTTATATAGAGGGTTAAGGAAAAGTGGGAAAATGTTAACATATACTGGATATGATAAAAATTACAGTGAATACTGAAATTAGAAAATTTTATTAAAGTAAAAGGCACATTGCCATTAATCCCGTAAAGCTGCTCCCCTTCGCTTTGAACACACTCTTCCCACCATTCTTACCCCTTTCTGAAGCAGCTCTGAAATGCTCTTTCCCGAGGGTCTTTAGTTGTTTTGTTGTGGATGCCTCAATGTCTTGAATCCATTTGAGACATTTACATTTCACGGTCACTTTGCCTTTGGGGAAGGGCACGAAGTCACTGGTGCCAGATCTGGCGACCAAGGTGGATGGGAACACCCTGAAATGTCTTTACGAGCCTGCCTTTCTGTTGGATGGTACTTGGCAGCCACATTCATCAACGTTTTGATCATACCTTGTAAAGACTCTACATCCTAGCTCTTGTTTTATTTTTCATTCTGAGACAGAGTCTTCTTAAATTGCTGAGTTGTCCAGGAGTGTCTCAAACTTGCAAGCCTCTTGCTGTAGCCTCCCGGATGCTGGGATTATGGGCAGGTTCCAGACCTGGCTTTTTCTCCTCCTCTGTGCTCTTGCTGAGTGTTTCATCTCCCCGCTATACTATAGCTTCAGCCCAGTTGTCTCTTGGGTTTAGACTCATATATGGGACATGCAGTGGGTTGTTTGGTTATCCCACTGGCATGCCAAAATCAACTCTCCCACCTCTGTATGCTCTTTATTGGGCTCTACTGTAGTGAAAGGCCTCACCTAACTGGTTTAGAAAAATGATTTGTTCAGGCTCGCTGTTTTGGAGGCTGCATTCCAAGGTGGGCTGGCCAATGATGTGGGGCCTCTGGTCAGGGTACCATGATGGCAGTGTCAGGGAGTGTGGAGCAGAACTGCTTACAGATGTGAGCTGCTTTTTTGTTGTACACACTTAACGTGTGTGTGTGTGTGTGTGTGTGTATCAGCCCCTTCCCTTTGTCGCTCCTGATAGGAGATCCGTCCATTTCACACTTGCATCGTTTGTTTTTAGGATGGTGACTGGCAGATAGATGCTTAACCCATATTTTGGAATGTTTGAATGCATGAATGAATACTTGTGATTCACAGTCCAAGCAGCTATTAGAGAATCTTGTCCTTACTGTGACATGTCCATGTACATCATTTCGAAGTGTTAAATGCGGGAAGTGGTTATCTGGCTTCTGTCTACCTTTTTTAGACCCTTGCTCTGTTGTGGCTGTAGTTACCTGAGCAGGAACTCATTGTGTGGCTCTTTCTTTATTTTTGGCTTTTGCTGTGAGGAATTGGGTGGGTTTGATTCCTTTTCACATTTTAATCATTCAAATAGTTGGAATCAACTGGTCTACCTTCTTTTGCGTTCTGTGATCTTTTCTTCAGAATAAACACTCCCAATCCTGACGATTGTATGCGAAGTGTTGCCTTATGCTTTCAATGCTATTTGGCCAATGTCCTTTGTTGAGAATGGTACCCCCCAAGTAGACAGAGTGTGGGAGAGAATATTGTGTAACTATAAGCCATTAGCCTGCCTATCAAGTAGTTTGTATATTAATAGGGCCAAATACCTTGACTTAATCATTACTTCTAGTGATATTACTAATAATGATTATTATAATCTTATGGTACCTGGCATATATTGAACACAGACAGTACAATAGACTTTCCTAAGCCCTTTTCATGTAGTACCTCACTAAGTTACAACTCAAGGAAGTGCTTAATAACAACATGCCCTTTTAACAGATGGGAAAATAATTTTCCCAAGGTCACATAACTGAGTGATGGAAAAAGAAATAGTATTTTGGCACTTCTTACTATGGTTTTACCCTGACTGATATTTCTCTTGATTGGTTTATTTTAAAATTTAAAGTAAAATGCTTTTAAGAGCCATGGTTTGCATATCTTCTAGTAAATGTGTGGATTCTTAATGAGATAATCATTATTGAACATCTGGTAAATCATAGATTTAATTCTTTGTGTGATGTAAACATGTCGTCTTAGTTTCTGTTCTCTTTGCTGAGACAAAATACCTGACACCCCAAGTTAAAGGAGGAAAGGAATATATCAGCTCACAGTTGTAGAGGTTTCAGTTCATAGTTGGCTGGCTCCAAGGCAGGGTGCCATAGCAGAAGGGCCTCTCAGGGGATAAACAGTCCATGGCAGCAAAGCAGCAAGCAGTAGCAGTAGCAGCAGTAGCAGTGGCAGCAGCAGTCCTGTCTTCTTTCTCTCTGTTTATATTCTATCTAGTTTACAAACTTGTTGATTGGTGCTACCTATTCTCAGGGTGGGGCACCCTTAATCTCGGCATCACATACCCTAGATCCAGCCACCTCCCCAAAGCCCCACCTGTGACTTCATGGGGCTCTGAGGGCGACATTTGGATAGAAGCCATAATACATGCAATCACCTTACTTCAGCAAAATGTTGCACTGCGGTGACAGAAAGCATAGAAAAAGTAAAAAAGAAAAATTCCATTGTTTGAAGGCAGGAAAGATTTTAAAGGCACCATTAATGGGAAAGGATTTGTAGGATATGAAGTTTGCAGATTGAAAATACACTGAAATCTTTTAGAATCAAAGAGCCCACATTCAGAGGATTCCAAAAAAGAACACTTTTCTAAGGGAACCTCATAAAGTCACCAAAATTAGAAGCAAAAGTGGGCCATGGGTAGTCAGCCTGTAAAATAAAGTTCTGTAGAAACGCTAATTGTAACTTCCATGGTCTCCAGTCTTTGCTTCCAGAATGAACCTGGGAAATGAAGCTCAGCCCAGAGATTTGTGTACTGACATCCTCAGAGCAGGTGTTGGCCCAGAGAAGTGTCAGGCTTCTGGGAACTGGTGGCTGCCACTGAGAACAGGGAGAACCTCGTTCTCTGCGTGGAGGTATATGAAAAGCACTCTTACCCAAGACTCCTAAAGACCAACACAGCTGCTCCAGTGCCTTGGGACAGAATCTGCCATGACCAGCAGCTTAGCTGTAATTACCCCGAGGCTGGAAAGTGCCTTTTACCTGTAAATGCTAACCAAGCCAGCAATGCATTATGCTTTTATAAGTATGAGAATCTGGCCAGGAATATTGAGTTGCTTAAAAAATTCACCTCCTTAGGGGAAGTGCAAGATGTAGCACTGAAAAACAAAGACAGGTGTGCAATTGCTGTTATCATGGCATAGAATTGGATCATAGAAAACCTCAAAGTTCTTGAAAATTAGGGACATTTAAAGTAATCCTTCAAAGGATGGATTGACCAACAGTAAACTGAACTGACTGAGTAGGAAGAAAGAAAAGGTAGAATGTTACCTTGTGTGGGTTAAAGATGGCCAAATATAAATATGCTTTTTCTAAATTTTAACAAATAAAGCATCCATATTCTTTTCAAATAATGATCAAGCAATTACAGAATGTAGCCACAATAAATCCATGAAGAAAATCTCACTAGATTCCAACAGGCTAAAATCCTACAGGCCAGAAAGTTAGGAAAAAAACAACCAAAGGCCAATCTCATACATTTGAGTAAATAAAATTAGACTAAAGTTTCTGATTAATTTAAACTGAAGGACAGTGAGAGAATTATCTACCAAAGAGGCGTTCTGTGGGTTTCTAGAAGGGGAGCAATCTTTACTCTCATGTGCAAGGATGGTCCTGTGACTATGAAGTAAACAGAGTTCCATTGCAGAGATGCTGATAAGCAGATACCCTTGCACAAAGCAGGAAAGGCTTCTGAAGCTTCAGAACTTAAAAAAAAAAAAGTTTAGGTTTGAACTAACTGCTTTTTGGAGTCTACTTGAAGAAAAAGTTAAAATTTGCTACACGGCTTTAATATTTACACAAGTTAAGTATGTTTGAATGCCCTTCAATGAAGGCAGTCCATTCTCAGTGTGATCTAAATGTTGACAGAAGCTGGGCTAAGCAGTGAGATTATCAGTGCTGGAGAGACAGAAGCTAAATGAATGAAAATACTAACTTTATTGCATAGGTTAGCACCTCAGATGTCACTGTCACTGTTTTGTCACAGTTTAATTGGAACAGTAGCTATACGTTGTATATTATTGAAACGTTTGCTTGCAAGAGTGTTTATATTAAGTATATCAAAAGATTATGTAATATAAAGGGATTCTTAAGTCGTTGCAATCAGTAATTGATGCAATACATGGGAATTTCTTGATCCACCTGGAAATCAGATATTTAGATTACTCGTTTACAAAGGACTGAATTATTTTTTCTTTTTGTAGGATTTGGAAACATCTCACCACGTACCGAAGGTGGAAAAATATTCTGTATCATCTATGCCTTACTGGGAATTCCTCTCTTTGGTTTTCTATTGGCTGGAGTTGGAGATCAGTTAGGGACTATCTTTGGAAAAGGAATTGCCAAAGTGGAGGACACCTTTATTGTGAGTACCATAGACTTTTAACTACATATATTTCTTCTTTAATTTTAGAATATTATACCTCTGGTAGAGCTAAGAAATTCAGTTATTGGGATTTCCACAACAGTTTATATGCATCTCTATTACTATAGAAGTCATGGCATTTTGATTACTATATGCTTATCTAAGTGAGCAAATCATTGCTTGCTTTAAGCAAAACTCAAAAGTATATACAGAAAAAAGGAAATCAACAGTCTCAGGTTCAAGTTTCATAGCTGTCATCTACCTGTAGTCTCTTAAACTAGTTATTTTTCCTCCAACATCAATCTTGCTTGCATAATGGGCATGACAGCACCGTGGACCTCACTCTGGGATTGGCAGCAGCCTTAATTATACCTGAACATAAACAGAAAATGACTGACAATATTTTGCTCTTTAAAAAATTCCTCTGACACCCTTGTCCATTGGTTGTGGCATTGTAGACTTACATTGCCCCTATGGGGAGGATGTCATAATAAACAGCAGCTGTGAAAATGGTGACCATGTAACTGAGCTCAAAAATGCCATTGATAGCCTCTTCTGAGGACTGTAATTCAGCACAAGCAAAGCAAGTATTATACTCAGTAGGAAGAAGTTAATAAAAGAAAAATGTTTTATTGTAGTTTTAAAGAAAGCAACATGCCTACAATTATAAGAAAATTGTAGAAAAAGGAACTGCATCACAGTGTGGGATTATAAATCATTTGTTATTATTATACCACTATTGCAAATAAATTTTATCATTCAGTATTTTATCTTCACATTTATAAAATATTTACATTTAACTCCACTGCTGAATTTAAACTACTGAGTATTGTTTCTCAATTTTCACCACTGTTCCAGTTTTAGCATTAGCTGTGTTTCTTATTTAACATCAAAATTCGCTCTCAAATGCTTTTACTGTTAGAGTAGAATGAGACATAGTTCAAACTAGGACTTTTGTTCCTTTTTGGAGGTACAATACTTTCCTTATATAGATATTAAAGTATCCTGTATTTGTAGCAGTGGAGAGGGCAGATCAGTGGCTCGGGCTTGCTCTTGCTGATTGCTCATTTGTGCAACACAGTCTTAGCTGCTTACATGGTGCTGATGAACATTTCTCATGTGGCCTGCATGCTGCTGCATGAGAAGAATACCCTCGTGGTGGTACCATGACAGTGAACTCGCTTCGCTGTTTGATACCCAGTGCTATTCAAAGCACTTGCTGGTCGTGAGCTCCTTCAGCTCTCACATATACCGCGAGGGGACAGACTAAAGACTCCCAAGACCTCCTTCCTTCCTGTGGTTTCAGATCTTTGTCTCCAATACCTCCCGAGCCGTAAGAGTTAGTGATTCTCCTGTGGAGCAGGATGTGACCTGTACTTTTTGCAGTACACAAGGCAGGTCCTGCCACAGATTTAAAGTACGTGGTTAACTGGTTGCGAGTAGAGAGCACAGAGCGAGTAGGCCTGCTTCATTTGATCCCACCTGCTGTGTGATTGCCTGTTAGAAGAAGTGAAAATGTTGCAGGTCTGGCAGGGGCTATGGCTGGGATCATTGAAGGCTTATCTTTGCCTACAGATCCTGTAGCTCTGCAGAAGAGCAATTTCAGACATTTATAACTCCATGTAAGAACACAAGCTTCAGCCATGCTCAGTGGCACATGCCAGTAATCTCAGCACTCTGGAAGGCTGAGGCAGGAGGGTTGCAGGATGAAGCCCAGCCCAAGGTGACTTGGTGACTTGGTGAGAGCCTGTCTCAAACAGAAAAACAAAAAGACAAGCTTCTGTTGTAAAAGAACACTTTTCCTTCCTTAGTGGAACAGTTCGCCACTCACAATTGATGCGAGAGTGACAATTGCAGACTTCATTAATATTATATGCTAATAAATGGAGTTAATGCTGTAATTTAATTCATTTCATAATTAGTGTTTGCCAACTCTTGATTGTAAATATGTAATTCCTGTTTCAGTTCTCCCTAACCTGAAGTATTTCTAGGTTGTATTAGGTACATAACAACTGTATGCCTGTAGGGTGGAATACTTGCATAGTGGTTCAGGCACACACATAATGACGCGTATCTGAAGTCACATTCCCAGAGAAAATGTAGTGTACTTCCAAAAACTATTTTACCTGTTGCAAAGCCGTGTAATGGTGAAGCACCATCGTTATTCCTATCAGTGGTTTTCAGTCATTTGTGTTATATCCAGTTTTCATAGTTGAGTAAGGCTGGAAGAAAATGACCTCTCACGTTCTGCTAGCGGAGTTGGGTGGCCCCACAGGCGTACCAGTAACGGGCTCCCACCTCTGCCTCTCTCCAGAAGTGGAATGTGAGTCAGACCAAGATCCGCATCATCTCCACCATCATCTTCATCCTGTTCGGCTGTGTCCTCTTCGTGGCCCTGCCTGCCATCATATTCAAGCACATAGAAGGCTGGAGCGCCCTGGACGCCATTTACTTTGTGGTCATCACCCTGACGACCATTGGGTTTGGCGACTACGTAGCAGGTGAGAGCACCCTGGCACGGCCTCCGCTTGCCCGAACCCGTCCCCTGCTCAGATTTCTGTGAGTTTCCAAGGGCCGCCATACCGGAACCACAACTGGGCGGCTGTAGACGGAAGGAATCCCCGTGTCCCCAGAGCTGAGACAGAGCTGTCTGGTGGGCTGGGTCCCCCAGACTCTGGTAGGATTCTTCCTTGTGTTCCGGAGGCTCACCCCTTAGCCACCTTGGGTGCATCCTCCCATCTCTGGCCTCAGGGGTGCCTGGCGTCCTCCTGGGATCTGTCTCGATGTCCAGAGCCCCTCTGCTTACGGGTGCCTGTGAGCGCCTCATTTCCACATCCGGCCCCAGCCGCAGGTCCATGGTTGGGACTTCACAGCTTCGGGGGGATGCAGCTGGGCTCAGAACAGTGGCAGTGGCGGACAGTGATTGTGCATGGTGGAGATGCGGAGAAGGGTGGAGCCGAACTGTTTCTATTCCATGAAGAAAGGTAAACTGCTGATTGTTCAGAAACCAAATACTTATATTTTGTTCCCCAGTGGAACAAGGACTCAAGTTCAACTTATCTTTACCCGTTTTACTCTGACCCTTTCTGGCCTCGATCTTAAAAGCAGTCGCAAACTTTAGAAGATATTCTTGGCTACTTGAAACCTTCTTTTCTCCACATAATATACATAATTTTCAATTCATCAATTTTTTTTTTTTTGGCACTGGGGACTGATCTCAGGACCTTTGCACAAAGCAATATGCCCAGCACTCTATTTGTATTTTTCTGTTTTTCCTTTTGTGATACGGTCTCAATAAGTTGGTAAGTAGCATGGTTGGGCTTGACTTGAGGTCCTACTGCCTCATCCTCCCACAATGCTGAGATTATAGGCCTCTGCCATTCCGCCAAGGTTAGGGCAGTAATTTTTCCTTTACTGTCCACATTTCTACTGACAGTTTTTGATTTGTCTTATATACATGTATATCATTTTAAGTGTCACTGACTTTATTGGTCTGTCTCTTAGATCTTCCTTTCATGTGTGTAGCTCTTCCTTTCCTAGTTAAATTATCCAGTATTCCTGTTACAATTCCAATTTTAAATAAATTACACTAGTGGTAGTGACAGTAAGTGTGTTGATGGCCCTTCATGTGTCATTTTGACAAGCTTCCCCAAATTTAAACTGTTCTTTTTTTTTTTTAAATCTAGTTCAAAGTATTGGAAAAATATGATCAGCGTTATAGTAGAAATACATTATTTAGCATTCCAGAATAAACCCACTGCCTCATTTAGTTTTAAGAGAGCTTTTGACTTTCTTGCTGTGCACCCTTCTTCCTCACCTAAATATCTGACTTAAATATCTTCCGAAGAGAAAGCACATTCTGTAGCGCTATGGACTCAGAGAGGCCAGGCCACCCCTGTCCCATGGATCTGTGACTGAGGGTTTATCCCGCCAAACCGTCTTCTTGGGGAATGCGCAGGAGACATTTTCGTAAGCCAAGCTGGCTTTTGATCAGGAATAGGAGGCACATGTCAGAGTGCTGGTAGGACGGGGAGTTTTGCTGAGAACCTTTCCTTGTAGAGCTAGCAAAACAGAAGAGTCCAGACCCTTAACTCCATGTAAGAAGACAAGTTTCCATCCTAAAATACCCATTTTTCCTACCTCTTTATGAAGATGCGAAATTGGTGTAAGAATGTAGAGAGTGTGCTAATTCAGAGGGAGTCAGACACAGTGATGAGAATACAAAATCTACTTGTGGTTCATTAATATTAGATTGTGTTCAGCTCTGTAAATATAATTACCCAGGCCCTGTGACATCTGTAGGTATTCGGGATGAGTCACATTTTCAGGCTGACAGCCTCATTGGCAGAAGCCATTTGAAACAGGCAGCCGGGCTATGTCAGTCCGGTAGGTGGCCCTCACTCTCTGGGACTCTGTATAAACACAAGAATTATAAATAAAAAGTGTGGGTGGAATCCTAAAATAATATTGTATTTGTGACCACTGTAGAAACTAAGGAAGAAAAAAACCCAAATATTTTTATTCTATGGTTTGTTTTAGATGAAAAAAATGTTTTGAAAGTTGACTTTAAGTGGTCAATACTCAAGCCGGGCATGGTGGCACACACCTGTAATCTCAGCACTTGGGAGGCTGAGGCAGGAGGATCTCTGTGAGTTTGAGACCAGCCTGGGCTACATAGTGAGTTCCAGGGCAGTCTCAACTACATAGTGAGACCCTGTCTCAAAAAACCAACAACAACAACAACAACAACAAGAAAGAAGTCAACACTCTGGAATTGGGAGAGTGTGTGGGTCTTTGGTGGCCACTCCCACTGCCCGAGGGGAGGAGGAGTTCAGCTGGAATAACCTTGTGCGTCTCCATGGGGACTCTGGATGCTGACTTACTCACGGGGTCATGGAAGAGTAGGTGTCTGATGCCATGAAGGATAATCTGATATCTTCACTGCTGATTTTATGACATTATACCCCTCATTAAATCATCGCTTTTATTTTACTTTTATTATTCAGTGGATTATAATTGAAAATGGTAGTGATAAACCTTGCTAATAATCGATGTGGAATGTGAACAGGAGTAAAGTGACAGATTCTGGGAAGGGCCAATGAGGCTGTCGCACTGGTCTTTGTGAAGCTGCAGACCCTTCTGACTATAAAATTAGCTGCTGACCAAGGGGAAGTTCCCATTCTGGGAAATAGTGGTTTTTCTTTTCTTTTTTAGAAACTTTCCTCTCAATATTAGATATCACAATAGGTGGCGTTCTCATTTAATTTTGGTGATTTTTGCTAACCAACCGCAAAGGAAGTAACTGAACCCCTGTGTTTTTTTTCTTTTGGGCTGTAAATCTCAGAAGAAGTCACAGCCCTGCCCTGCCCTCCTGTACCCACTCCCAGCTGCCCTTCCCAAAGCCTTGAACTCTGCTCTAAAGAGGATTAGGGTTTGATCTCACAGGTTTCAGTTTCCCTGAAGATAATTTAAAGAACACATTTTTAAAAAACTGTGTTATTATCAAAGTGCTTTATAAGTGTTTTAGAGACACATTATACTTTATCCACATTTCTTCGTGTAGGGTTAGTTATCAGGAGCATCTCAGTAACCGCAGGCGATGATGTGGTGTAGACTGGAGCTCACTTCCCCCCACGCAGGGAGACTCCTACATGGAAAGAGAATATGGTGATTCTTCGACTCCATGTGAAACATGCTCGTGACAGACTGTCCTGCACATAGTGTATTTCTAACTCATCAATTAATACATGTTTATGTTTGTACTTTTCCAGTGCCGCTGGGACACAGGATCAAGTACAGGAATCTGGCTTTTATCTGCAAGTGCTCACCTAGCAGTTTCTAATTTTATAGTTCTGTTCCAGGAAGGGATGTGTATTAGGGGCTGGTTGGTCCCCTCTGTCCTTGGTGCCTGATTTTCCCTAGAGGCCCTTTTGTCCTCTCCTTTGGCTCGGGCTAAAAAGGACCTGGGAGGCCACAGGGTTTGATTTGACTTAGGAATAAGCAGAGCCTCGTGGCTGGAGTGACTCTTCCTGAAACCGGGGAGAGAGGGACTGCTTCAGTGTCACTTGTTTGATTTTAAAAGCACCTATGAATTTATAATAAAATTTGAGGGTGTTATTTAAAATGATTGGCAACACTATATTGAGGATTACCACGGAATTCTATGTTGTTTCCGAACTCTTTCCTTTATATTATTCAGTTGATCAGAAATCCGGGATGATGTGTTGTTAAGTCCTTAGAGACAGACCTAAATCAGAGTTTCTTCACTAAAATCTAAGAAGCAATATTAATTATGTGGAAGATTATCTTTTACTTATGCACCATTGCTTTTACAACTTGTTTTCTTGGTCCATGACTAGCAAAACAATAACAAAAGATTTATAATTCTTCAAAGTTGGAGAAAAGTCAAATTATTGCCTAATGTAACATAATTCACAGCTGCTTTCTGAAGCTGGTGGCTTCTTTAGTTTATCCTGTTAGGCTGGGTGGAAATTTATAATTTCTCAAAGCCGTGTCCTCCTCACATCACTTGGCTTTCTAACAGAACCCAAACATCTTAGCCAAAAATTTATATATTCTAAGAGATCCCCGTGGCCAGTATTGTGAAAACATACGTTCCACCAATGCGTACATTTACTCAGTCATTCAAATAGTCTTGTAATATTGATCAATGGGACTTCACATGTTAGGTTAAATAGTGGAATTTTCTTTGTCACAGATGCAGTGACAGAAGGTTTGTGGGGTTAATCAGACTTCATGTTTAGTGCTTTGAGTTTCCACTTTATAAAAAATGTGATTTAGGATTGTCCAGCTAGATATTTTTCTTCTTCTGACACATTGGCCTTTACAAATGTTTTGTGACTTTTAATAATTCTGTCATCATTTGTTATTACCTTTTTATTTGGAAAACCAAAATTTATGTCTTCTCTTAAGAAGTAAGTTTCTTTGGAACTGTGTTTTAAAAGTCATTATTGGAAATACACAGCTTTTTGGTAACCAAACTAGTTTTTTCCTATATAACCAAAAACGTATCTCATTCAATGAGAGCTTGCTTAATTGAAGGGAATTTTTTTCACAGAATGTGTGAATCTGTTTCAAAACCATGGCAATTTTTAAAAAATCAAAGCAGTTTTCTTAGTAGATCTTCTAGGAAAGTGTTCCTGATGTGCCTTTAGAGTTTTGCAACTACATTAAATGCCACTTACTAAAAGTGGCATTATTAAGCTGATCATCAAGTTAAATATTGGCAAGAATTCAACAAATGTTAAGGAAAAGACTTGATGAGGTGTGGAATCTATGGAGGAACGATCACCCACACCACAAGGATGGCTCAGAAAACTCACTGTGGTCAGAAAGGAAGGGAGACGCACTATATTTATTCACTGACTCAGATGTTTAGAGGACACATGCTGTGTATCACACAGTATGCTCAGCGTGTATAGCTGTGCTTATGGACATGTGGATGTAGGAAATCCAAGAGCATCAACTAAATAGGGGTCCT